TCTAACTAGGCGAGTTTTTTTACTCCGATCAAGTCATGATTGCTGCAGYTRGAATCAATACACAAAGTTTTTTTGCATACATAGTTGACTTCGTTATAATTCTGTAGCATCCACACACCTCACTAGAAATGTATTGAGATTGGAAGTCAAAACAATACTTCAAAATTCCACTTTCCAAAAGATTCAACTTTACGCAGATCTTGGCCAAGCTCATTCGAGCCAAGTATTTTTTTTGATATCATCGAAGACTCTATTCTTACCCAAATTCAACATTTAATAGCGTATCATTCAAATATGTAGTCTTTGAAATTTTGATTTTTTTAATATCTATTTTTTTTTGCTAAAATCAGTCTTTCCCGTTAAATATATAACATTCCTTTATTGATTTTTTTGTCGCCATATATTCCAAACTCTGTTTTCAACACAAATTGYTTGTAYTTTTTTTAAACACACARATGCAAGACTTTGCAGGTAAACATGTTTTGAATTCTTAACAAAAATCATTTTGATTATTTCAGACCTTTTCTCTTGAGCATAAATTTTTTTTTTTTGATTCTTCTTTTTTGTTTTGTTTTGTTTTGTCTTGTTTTTTTTCCTTTTTTTTCCTGGAGTTAAGTTTAATAAAACAAGATATTTCTTGCTTTTGTCCTTTTTTTTTATCATCTTTCAGCAGGACAATCATAATAAAGTTGCCACTGCTGAACCATCTAATAAAAAATCTCAAACCTTTGACACTTGCATGGTAGAGTTCTATTTCTCTATGCCTGGTACAATTTGATTGATGTTTGTATCTACTCCAAGATAAGACATTTTTTTTTATAATACTACTCTAGATATTCTTTGCACGCACAGACATGTGCCCTTTTTTTTACATACATTTGTTTGATTATGTTTAAGTTATTTCTTCTTATTTTTTTTTTTTTGTTCCCATTCTCGACTCTCTATTTTTTCTTTCTTTATTGCAGTTTTTTTTTTTTTCACCAATCTATATAACGCTCATACATTTAACAGTCATATTTCCTTTTTTTTSTTTCTTTTTTTATAAAAAAGGCCATTGCAGCTGGCGTCCATTGCAAGTAAACATGTTTTAGAATTTTACCAAAAATTGTTTTGATCATATCTCAATTTTTTTTTTTAAATGTCCGACTCCTCTTTTTTCTTTAGCCATGTTGGAATTATGATACGATGAACGAGTGAGTTCTTTGTCTTGAGTTACTGACTAGCATGTTATTTTTTTTTTAACCAATCATAAGTTATTGGTGCTGCATGATACAGGTAATAAAAAATTTTTTTCYSTTTGAAGCTTTACAGAGTATATTGGGCTCTTTTGCACAATGGTTTTTTTTGGTGTTTTTCTATCCYTGCTTGTTTACTTCAGGGTAAGCTAGAAAATTTTTTTTCTTTTTTTTCCGATATTTGTTTTTCCTTTTTTTAATTCTATTTAATTTTTTTTAATATTTTAATTGTTTTGACAAAGGTCCTATTATAATTTGATTTCTTTTTTTTTTCTCATACTTTGAAGCTTTTAGTTCATCCCATCCGGCTTTAATATTTTTTTCTAACTTGACTAACCGATTCATTAGATACGAAAAGTTGTTAGAAACTTWTTTTCGTGACTCATTCAGACTAGTTCAATGCAAAAAGAAAGCTCATATAATTTTTTTAAATTCTTTGGCGATAAATGTAGCTTAAAGCTGATGATCGATGTAGTTTTTTTAGAATTTGTTGTCGTTTAAGACTGGCTCATGAATTGCCTGCGCTCCTTTTTTTTTTTCGTAATATAAGATGATCCATCCGCATAACAGAAAAAAAAAACTTTTTTTAGGCCAACAAAATGAACTCGAAATATGTAATTTCGAAAACCACAAATTTTTTTTTATCAAGGCGAAGAAGAATCAAATGACCGTCGATCACGATCTCAGTTTTTTTTATTTTTCTTTGTTTTTATTTTTTTGAACGAAAGAAGCGGGCGCGGTTTTTTTTCAGTCCCGAAAGACATTGTTTAGGTCTTTTGGAATGGTAAAAAGTTTTTTTTTTTCGAATATGATCACTAGCCCAGGTGTACATTGGGAGGGGTTCATTTTTTTTAGTTAAAAAAATCTTTAAGCACGATCCCTGTCCCTTGCAAAAGCATCCAAAATATCTCCCTTCCCTCATCCTGAAATATTTCATAAATGAAAAACTAAATTTTTTTCCAACCGAATATTTCCGAGAGAATTTGAAACAAGTCGTTGGAGAATTTTTTTTACGATAAATGTATTGGATCAAGAGAATGCACAAACTTCGTTTGAAATTTTTTTGGTCAAGCTTGTCTGAAAACATGCAGAGATGCCATTGCTGTGTTTGTTTTTTTACACTTGCCATCCAATAAAATTCATCATAGATTATTGATTGGAATATTTTTTTCATGGGTCCCCCTATGCACATTGTTTGTATAGTCAAATATGTAATTTTTTTTTTATTTGAACCGTGTGTCCGACTGCAATAATTTGGCTGGTCTGAAATTTTTTTTACGATCACAAATCACACGACAACAATCAATGTTCAAGTTGTAAGTTTTTTTTTCGCCCTTTCCTCTGGAAGATCAATTTTGAGGCGCCATCCCCTAGACTTTTTTTACGTAATTTAAATCATCTCTTTTCAGATTGTATCTCTGAAGAGCGCTTTTTTTAGCGAAGGTAAAGTAACTAGCAAGCCAGTAATAGCAAACGTGTTTCTTTTTTTTCATTCTATTTATTTCTTTACTTTTTGAACTTTAAGAACTCTATATTTTTTTTATCCCAGAATGATAATCAGAAGAGTCATGAATGTACGTTCTCTATATTTTTTTATCTATACACATATTAATATTACGTGAAAACAGTTGAATCCTTCATTTTTTTTTTTCCTTAAAAGGACCATTTTAATTTTTTGTTACTCAAACGAGCTTTTTTTTTCGTAAAGTGAATTGATTTTCACTTGTCAAACGTACCAAGAGTGCCGTTTTTTTTCAGATTGATTTATGCAGATTTTATTAACGGAGTGTCTAAACGTCATTTTTTTTGACGTTTAGTCCCAGGACTAAACGTCAGGCAGTCGAATTTTTTCTTTTTTTTTCGTCGGAACAACCGTAATTTCAATTAATACAACAGGGGAAATGCATTTTTTTCCGAAATAATACTGTTTGACAAGTTTCAAACACAAGCACGGCACTTTTTTTTTTTTAGACTGCCTGACGTTTAGTCCCAGAACTAAACGTCAGGCAGTCTTTTTTTTTTGTTTGAAAAATCGTCAGAACAACAGTAATTTCAATTCAATACGTTTTTTTAAATGCAACAAAGACAGAAATAATGCTTTTCGACAAGTTTGTATACTTTTTTTCGCGGCACTTTGATATTTTTCGACTGCCTGACGTTTAGTTCCAGAATTTTTTTTCAGGCAGTCAAATTTTTGAAAAATACAGACATACCAGAGTTGTGATTTTTTTATTTTGTAACCCTTTCTGTATCAGACCGTCCCCCTTCAAACATTACTTTTTTTATTTATCATTGTCCCAGCAGCCTATAATTGGACCATTGTTTCTTCATTTTTTTGGGATAATTATTAGGATATTTGATAGGCAGTTAATGATAAAAATAATTTTTTTACAGTATAAACAGATAAAAAAGTGTTTTATTTGGTTTAATAGCCACTTTTTTTAAGACAAACAAAGTATATCAAATGTATAAATTGAACAATAGATGCATTTTTTTTCCTTATCAACTGCATATCAAATATCATAACCCTTATCCCTTCAAATTTTTTTAACAATGGTCCAATTATAGTCCCTGCACCATTCACTGGATGCTTGGTTTTTTTGAAAAATTGTTCTGGTAATGGTTGAAGGGGGACGGGGAGGGTCACGTTTTTTTTCCCGTCGAATATCAGTAGAAAAATTAACTTCTCCACTATGGTTGGTTTTTTTATTCCCAGTGCCCACTTTTCAACTTCCACCTCCCCTCCCCCTGTTATTTTTTTCCCATCAAGACCTTATTTCGGTCTTTATCCGTGCTTGTGACCGTGGTTTTTTTCTATACAAACTTGTCCAATAGTATTATTTTGGTCTTTAGTGCATTTTTTTTTTGTATTAATTGAAATTACGGTTGAACCGACGATTTTTCAAAAAAAAATTTTTTTTGCCTGACGTTTAATTCTGGGACTAAACGTCAGGCACTCGAAAAATTTTTTTTTGCCGTGCTTCCTGCATGCTTTTGAAACTTGTCGAACAGTATTATTTTTTTTTTTATTGCATTTCCCTTGTTGTATTAATTGAAATTACGGTTGTTCCGTTTTTTTTTTAAGAAAAAAATCGACTGCCTGACGTTTAGTCCTGGGACTAAACTTTTTTTTGCCTGACGTTTAGACACTCCGTTTTATTAAAGCCCTAAGTGCGAATTTTTTTCAATAAAAACAATTTGAATCCCGGCGAGATCGGGAATTAATTTTTCTTTTTTTTTTCCAAGGGTATTTCTCCCAGAATAACCTCTCTCTAAGCACTAACTTTTTTTTCATTTATATCNGTTCAGAGATAAATGGGGCAAACTGATCATGCGCGAATCACTTCACATGCAAAGCACTCTTGTCATCCCACATTGAATACGCATAAAGTAAAATAGAACCGCTCTTGGCTGTTCACTGAAAATGGTTGACATCCTGCATTGGTCAATGATCAGGTTTCAAACCTGAGACCTTTGCTAGGGTCATGGACCTTTATATCTGATAAAGGTCACCCTTATTAGTATTCTTTATATACGGCATTACGGTGCCCCCTGATTTGCATGATCTGAGTAGGCGGTACATTGTTGTTTCTGTAGATGAATTTTGACCATAGGTCATTCAGAACTGTGGTTGAAAGTTCATGAATTGAACTTGAACTGAGTATCTCGGGGCTAACTGCTTGAATAAACTCGGTAAAAAGTAGATTGTCGTACGCTGTTTTTCGTTTTGTATTTACATTTTCCTGTTTATCGACGAAATCATGGATGTCTTCGTCAGTTACATTTACCACAAACCTTGGCAAAGGTTCATTCATGGTTTCTTTCTTGTATGGTGAACGCCTGTTGTGTTTCTAATTTGCATATTTCAGATGCCCGCGAAAATGCTGAAATCTCATTGGTTAAAACTTGTTATCGCCACAGTGTTGATAAAATTGATATCAACACCGGTCGCAGTAGGGATATCAGTTTTATCATTTTGATATTCCCTAGTATCACACTCTATATCTTATAATAATAATAGTATCTAAAGTGAGTAATATTCTAAAATATTCATTTCTAAAGAATTTCCTGAACCCGTGGTCTTTCTTCCTCTGAACAAAGAGTATGGTGCACGAGACATCAGTAAAAGCCACCTACCAACAACGTTTAAAGGTATTACATTGGCTCCTGGACCAGATGGCCAGTCAGATGGTTCTTATGCATTTCCTGGGAACGTAGACGGGTATATTGAGATTCCTAAATCGCCCAAAACTGACACCAGGTGAGGCTACATCCCAACTTTTCCAGAACTGGAAACCTTTCCACAACACAAGGGTTCTATATAAGATGGTGTATTTGAATATACATACAGATAAACCAACACTGGGGGAGGAGGTGGGGGACTACTAGCCTCCTCCACAGGCAACTCTTTTTTCCTCCTTTGGGCTTCCTTTGTAACGGTCATTTTGGCCGTTAGGGACTAGTGACGAGATAGCAAAAATAAAAACGCTCCCCTTTTCTCGCCCCCATTCTCCCTCTTTTGACTCCTCAAAAAGACAGGAAGCCCGTGATTCTTAGTGATGCCTGCGGAGGAGGCTAGGGGACTACCTGCTTTGAACTCTGTCAATACCGTGGAAATATCCTGAATTTATGAGATACATAATTAAACGAAATTTACAGAGCTCAAAGTAAATGACATTTTCCAATGAAATTATCACAAACATTTACCAACAAGCTTTAATGTGTAGAATTGCCAAAAAATTGATACAGCACAGCTGCTATAATCCAACACATTTTTTAATTATGCATCAATTTTTTATTACATTTCTTTTGATTAGAAACTATTATAGGCTGCTTCTTTCTGTCATTTAGCTGGAGAATTGATTTCAGGTATTGAAACGTGGAAACGTTTTATTTACATSTTAATTAATAATTTCAGGTTCAATGTGTCATTTTTCACTTGGATCTTGCACAAAGGCACCTATGGCCCAGTATTTAACTATGAAACAGGCAATGAAAATTGGAGCCTCCACGTCTTTATTCATAAACCGACAGAATTATATGTGCGGTTAAAYTCTCGATTTTCTAAAAATGRTTTTATAATTATCGCACATAACATTAGCAAAGATGCATGGACATTCGTTGGATTTACCTACGACTACAGAGCTAGTAAAATAAGGCTTTACATCGACGGAAAGAAAGTAAAGGAAGCTTCGACCATGAAATATCAGCTAAATACAATATACAAAGTAAGAAGTTATTTTATTTCATAAAAAGGTTTAATTAAAGCGCAGCATAACMTGCGTAGCGGCCATCTTGGGATCCCTGTGGACGAGGAAAGAGAGCCTGCCGTCACAATGGGAAATTTTGATTGGTCGATTCACAAATGTATGTCAACTATTAGGATGTAACGGAAACTGCGCTCAACTTCGAATGAAGAAAAAAATGACGCTGTGTGCTTTGAAATAGTCTATACAAATTTTCAATGAAAGGTCGTTAATAGCTAGCGAGAACTCCGGTGTTGSGAAATGTTGTCAAATTTCATCTGGTCTATTCGAAGAACCCATAGATACCTCTGATGTTGTAAATAWATAAGTGATTGGCTATTTTGCTCGAGGCATAGATGAACCTCAAAACCTGTTTACCATTGAAACGGATTTTACAAAATACTTCGAAGAATAAAGGGTTTAGAWTAGTTATTYAAGCGAGTCGATAATGACTTGCTTAAAAGTACAATTAAGTTAGCAAGAAAGAAAGTCCGTGAAAGCTTTATGTCTAATGAAAAAGAAAAGTTTTTCAAATTTTGATTTTAAATTCATTTCGCGTTTTTATTTACAAATTGTGACCGTTATTTCGTGTCTGGTCGAATGTGATTCGTCTATTTTTGACATTCATATGAGATGGATTGCATTTTAATTAGGGGTCGGGTAGTCATAATTCTATSTGATCTTGACTACAGGTCCTCTTTTCTCAAAGAGGGCTGCTTCGCAGGCTAAGTGCAGCACTATGCGTGGTATGTTAATACCTTGGATGAAGTTAACAAATAGATCCCATTTTTCCTTGCATCTATACTCTAATAGATAGACCGATGTAAAAATGTTATAAGAAAAGTGCGGCACGAGACTGTGACTGTGACTGTCCTTCTTCTCATTGCATTTTCACGTCTTGTGTGAAAAAAAAACAAAAAAACAGACGCCCTGAAAATTGAAATTCATTTATTTTAATTGTAATATTTTCTTTCAAATGATTTTTTTTTGGTAAAATCTCTTCACAAATGTAAATTAGTTTACCTTGGCATTGTTATGTTATGTAGCTCCTCTTACATAGAGTCAAATARCAACAAAAGCGTGCGTGCATGGCAACAAAAATTCATGCAAATAATACATTATGGTACGTTTGAATCCTACAAACACAGATTCGCATCGGTGGAACAAGGAAAATACACCCAAAGGATAAAGGGTTCACTGGACGATTGTCGTGCTTCCAAATCTATAACAGAGCACTAACAGAAGAACAAGTGAAGAGAATCCAGCAATACTGTGATAGAAATGGTTAGAATAGTATCCAGAGGCTGTACATGTCTCTGTTATTTGATATGTCGAGGATATTACATTTTCGATGGTARATACGGATCTTATCTTTGAGTGTTGAACAGATCTCTCACAAGTGAGCTTAACGAAAAGTGAAAATATAGGTATTGCATAAATAATWATATGACAAAAAGTTATTTTAAAAAAGGTCGTCGGAGTAGTTCACTACAGTCCTCTCTTCTCCTCCGTTCCGATCCTCTACAAGACTCTACGGGAAAAACAGCCCAGATAAACTTGAATGCGCGCACATGTCATCTTAGTGACTTGGCGATAACTCCTCTATTAAAATGGCGATCGTGATGTTAAGTAGTATACAAAATAGGGGTTCAACGCCAGGCGGATCATGGCGGATTGCGGATCGGACAGGCGGATCATGGCGGATTGCGAATCGGACAAATTAACCTAATTAGATGCGACAAAACAATGGAACAAGGTGAACGGCGGATCAAGATCTGC